CGTACCGTCAAGCCAGTATTCTTCGGGTATGCACAACCCATTTGTACAACGATATTCATTTTTGTCACACTCGTTCATTTCCACCTTATCACAGTTCTCTTCATCCACACCATCCATGCAATTTTGCACACCTGCAGAATAGAAAATCATCAAAGCATTTTACAAGAATGTGTTACCATCACAAATGTTTCTCCAATCCAAACACAAAAGTCCGTATTCGCAATCGATATTGTTATAGCACACGCGCCGACGATGCAGCTGCCCTATTAAACCATGTTCTATGCTTAAATCTGTGTATCTCGATATTGTTTTGACCATGTCAACGACTGTTGAATTAACATAGAGTTTGTACTCGCAGTAACGACCAAAAGCCCTTTCTGAGGAAGAACAGCTAAAGTGAAAAGATATTTCAAAGCGACATTCACTATGAAAACGACTGAAAACTGTTCTACGCACTTGCACACAAAATCATCACCAAGTAATAAGGATGATCGATTTGCTTTCAAATTGTACAGAAAGGCAGCATATCGGTCAGCCTGGTCGATTCCAGACCGAAAGGTTTCAAATACTGTAGTCGCCTCAATACCACGTTCAAACAGAGAAGAAAATGAGTGAGCAATGGCATCGTTTTTGCATCGTTTCTGACCATTCCGATCCGATCGTTTTCTGTAGTTGGTAATGTTCTCGGGCTGGATGCAATATTTAATCGCATGTGTATTCGTAAACTTGTTTGAATAGTGTAAACAGTTATAGTACTGCGCATTCGGCAAGTCATCTGTGTCATGAAATATGTCCATCGCTTGGCTGGCTGTTAATATTACTGTTAGAAGTTCCATGGTAACACGAATGTGCCACATTTCTCTCGAGCTTCGCCACTTGAATGCCTTTCTTAGAAATAGTGTTATATTTTTATACGATCAATTTACTCTTGTTTTCTGATTAAAACTTTGTGGATACCTTAGAGTCTCATTGGCACGCTTCGTTCATCCACCATTGTAAAACATTTAATATTCAGATTTATTATCCGACTTGAGCATTCTCGAGCTCCTGCTGACAAGTCGTAATATCTGCTTAATTCAGATAATAAAGTTTCAGAAATATGCCACCTACGGATTTCTTGTACATGAATGAACACGGCAACAGACTATCGATCATTCAGGATATTCAGCGAGAGTAATATTCAAGAATATTTTCTGAATCCTTAACAATAGATAGTATATACTTGGTTTTCTCCAACAGACCTTTATTAAATCAGAGTCAAACTAGTTTGACGCATAGCAAACAAAATATCATGTGGTCCTGTTATCAAAAGTTAAATACTGTGTTCACAAAATTATTCACTTCTGTATGAATAATACAAAATAATATTCTATTTATGAACGTGATTTAAGCACATATTAGATATTTACATTAGAAAAAAGTAAATGAAATACATAGGCCCTAAGCAATTCTTCTATGGCTTATCATATCAACGTCTAAGAATTGATTGAAAAACGTTTTCAGGCATAAAATTCAAGATTCGAAGAAAAATGTCTCATTCGTCGCTAATGATTGATTTTTTTAAGCTCAAGATCAATTATAGTCTCGCTTGTGAAAAAAAAATAGTACGTAGAAAATCAATTCGTGTAATTTCGAGTAGAGTATTGTTTTTATATACACGATACTGATCAATACTAACATGAAGTAATCTAAGAATTGAAAATGCTGTTTCAATCAGCTTCAGAGGATGATCAGCACACACGCAGTGTTAAAAGTTACACACGATTATCGATTCATGATGAAATTGAGTCATTAAATCCGTACATTTTCCGTATGACACTATTTTCATTGATCTATCTAGTTCGATCGTTTCAGATATAGTCATCATGAGGATGAGTAGTCAAACACAAAGCTACATCTTTCTATTATTCACCATATCTTTTCAATGTGTATGAGTATGCAGAAAATTCTGAATCGCTCACAGATGAAAATGCATCACTCGCTTCTATACAGCTTTCATACTATGATATTATCTATAACAGGTTCGCTGATTATCATAATCTGGAATAGACAATTGCCTTGATTTTGCTAGTGAAGCCATGTGCTTACTTCAGAAAGCATTCAAGAATATCTTTCATCTGAAAAGATTAGAAACTATTTGCAAGCAAGGCAGCATTCTTCTACATAAGTTGTTCATGATCAATTTTAGTCGAGAATGTTTTGCTTTTTTTTGTGATAAATGATTGCAATTAAACTTCTTTGACGCAAATCAACAAAGTGTGCATGCAAATAAGATGGAGAGAGACTTTGAACAAAACAGCACGAAACCACGATTGATCAATGATGATATTGTATGAACACGTATTCATTGTCAGAATTTTCTTATTCATACTCAAATTTATTGTACTGTTCACGGCGCATGAGTGAGAGCTATATTGAAGAAAATCCGCTCATCCATCCACAGACCAAGATTCAAGTAAAAAATAAACGCTATAAAACGATACGAGAAGCAAAATACTAATGGCTCAATATTTCTTTGAATACTTATGAAATTAAGCTGCGAGAATATAAACAGCAATATCACAATGAATTCAGAGAATAGCGGCAATGAACGATTGGATCAATAGATGGAAAAATAGTTCACCCCACGAAAAGTTGAGCATACCATGAAGAAATGAAAAAGCATAAACATACACTTATTATATATATTTCTTGTGTGCTTCTTTCATTTCAAGCAGATGTCCTTTTCTCTTTCAACGAGAAACGTTGCAACAAGGAAACATGGAAAGAAAAAATGCTTACACATTTCTATCAGGCATTTCTCTGTATATATATTTCGATTCTCGCTGAAATCATTCTCTTTCTTGAGATGAAATGATTCAGCAAAGCGATATAAAAACTATCGAATGAGTCTATCTCTATCATGCATATCTGCTTAAGGGAGAGAGGGGGTGATGGGTATCCCTGACATATCCTCATATTTTGTTAGTTTGTAGGATCAATTCCCCAGAGTCTAGGGTTAAAACAGTTCGCGGGTTGAATGGTCTATGGTAGAGTTAGAAAAATTTCAAAAATTGAAAAAAATGTTTTTCTAGCTGTTTGGATGTCAACGAAAAAGATACTTCTTACCGAGGGTGTGGATGTGGATGTGGTGATGGGTGCGGATGTAGCTGTGGGTGCGAATATGGATGTGGGTGTGTGTGGGTATGGGTGTGTGGGGTGTGGGTGTGGTTGTAGGTTGTAGGTGATGAAAAGATAAACACCGACACCGACACCCACACCCCACCCCACACCCCGCACCCACACCCCACCCCGCACCCACACCCACACCCCGCACCCACACCCCACACCCACCCACAGCCACACCCCATCCACACCCACACCCTAACAAGTAACGTTCATCAGTTGGGGTGGGTGTGGGTGCTGTGAGTGTGGATGGGTGTGGGGTGTGGGTATGGGTGTGGGTGGTGTGGGTGTGGGGTGTGGGTGTGGGTATAGGTGTGAGTGAGTGTGGTGTGTGGATGTGGATGTGGATATGGATATGGCTGTGGGTGTTACAATCTTCTCTTAAGACACCCACACCCCTAGGAGGATTTATAAATTCATCTCATCTGATATAGAATTGAGCCGGAGAAACTTATATCAAATTTTGAATGTGTACATCCCTCGATCATTCTGGATTAGAGTTGACAGGAAATGGAGCTGGGAAGAGGATCTCATCTTCACGAAGTTTGCTTGAAGATGTGCTATTTCTAAGGAAAACACCACATCCTTTGTTGCATGCGAATATTGCTAGATAGTCATACTTTGAGAAAAAATAGATAAAAGTTTTAATGTAAGCTACGAAAAATTCAAGCGAATGCACATGTATTAGATGCAGCTTCTCTAAGATAGATAATGAATCCTAAGTTCAATTATACACTGGTTTGAACTATCTTTCTTTAATTTCACCATCCTTAAGTCAGTTTCAGTGTTAATGTTTTCTCCTCTGCTCTATGCCCCATCTTCAAATCAAGCAATAGGATTGGTCAAAGAACAATAACTTGTTCAAGTAGACATTCCTGTTACTGATGATTTTTTCGAATGCAACTTTTGTTTCTGCTTTCAGTTCCTATTCACATCTTTCTCTTTCATTTTCTTCTTTCTTTTTTTTTTGTTGAATTCATATTAAATATTGCTTTTCATTTACATATCGTCTGCAAATAAGAGATATGACTTTGTGTCGATTATGTTTTATTCTTTTTAACAAAAAAAAAATAAGAAAGGAACAAATGTATTTCTTAATTAAATTACGTAAGTCAAAGAAAAGGATACCTATTTATGCGTAAATTTTCACATATATGGTAAACACTATATTATTGCGCTTTATACAGAATTTCAGTTGGGAAATTTATAGAAGACAAAGATCAACATGAATAAATACTACCATTTTTCATGAAAGTTTAAAAAAAATAAATAAAACAATAAATCTCTCTCTTTTATGAAACATAAATGTACAATACACACATAAATGAATTTTAAATTTGATCTGTTATTCGATCTGTTACTAAAACAACAATTTCACGTAGCTATAATTAACTCATTAGGTAAAGTCTGCAGTTGGACAATGTCTTCTATGGAAAATAATCAAAAAATAGATAATATAGTGAAATAACTACATATTTATACTTGATAAACACGCGTCGGTATTTACATCAATTAGACTCACATCTGCACCCTCATGCTAAAGTTATTTCAACTATCTTTTCATATCAAAAGTCACCAATGACACGAGTAGAAGAACAAAGTTTTCAGCCAGTTTTATTATTTACTCTCACATGTTGAATAGCAATAAAAAAAAACATTTTTCATAGAATGACAACAATGTGACACTTTTTTTTTCAACGTTGTATGCTGCATTTTGTTTTCCGTTCTTTCTCCCACATTGGGCTGGTAAGTGTGTTTGAATAGTTACATGACTGTTTTTATGTATCTTTTTTTACTTTTTACTTCACCATATTTTTACAGATATTATTCCAATAATGGCAGTTAATCATTTAAACGAAATTATTTCATTATTTCTTCAGTGGAATGTAAAAGAACTTAGTGATAATGATTTGAGTACTGGTATTAGTAATAATGGGAAAACTTGTTCAGCTGAAGAAGTACGTCACACTGCACGATTATTAGGTTCATCTCTTTTTCAGTTTCGATATAATGAAGACAACGTATTTCTTATTCGAATCGCACCCACAGTAAGCTCATTTTTCCTAATTTTATTATTGTTATGATTTATTATGTATCTTAGATAAATATATGTAAAGATTTTCTTGCTGGTAAATGTACTTTTAAAGCAGAAGGATGCAATCAACTTCATTTATGTCGCCGTTTCGGTTCATGTAACACAAAAAATTGTCATTTTCCTCATGATTTTACACATGGAAATAATCGACGCATTGTTGAACAATCAAATTGTCAAAATGTAAATCCAATACTACTTGTTCGTCTTATTCGACTTAATAAACAATTGTCTCGTCGTTTGTCTAATGTAATATTTTCTATTGTATTCTTCCAAAGATAAACTTTTCTATGTAGACTTCGGTTATTCCTCGCGTTATTTCAAAAACACCGAATACGACATCATCGTCAGTAGAACCCAAACAAGTTCAACAAGTTTTTAAGAGAAACAAACATTTTCGTTCAAGACGAAAATCTCGAGGTGATAAGTCTAATACAGTTACTGATGGAGATAATACTACTGAGTCGACAGTTGTGTCGTCAGTATTAGACACAAATTGTCAAATAAATATCAGTTTTCCATCAAAATCTATTACTTCTCATATCACAATTGACGAAATCGTAGACTTCTTAAGACTACAAGGTGTAGCTATCCAAAAAGTGTTTAATGCGAAAAAAAATGAACGTTTTCATCAATGTACACTTCAATTTCAGGAGCAAAACGGTAAGTAATTGTTAATTCAATTTGTCTAACTCTTCGTTTTATAGTTGTAGATAATCTTCTGACACAATCGAGGATTCCATATGAAGATGTTGATTTAAAATTTAAAAGAACCAATCCATTAATCGATCAAAAACGTTTCATACTCAAATCGACAATCGATTCTAAACGAGGACCAATTAGCATGGAGAAATTTTCGCTTTATATTGATGTTTTAACTAATCATTGTTCGTTTAAATTAACCAATCTTTCATCATCAGTGGAACAGTTTCTGCTGGTTCAATGTGAAAATATCATTGGTAAGAATTCTCGCTAAGTGTTTTAGAGTTATATTTGTTTTCTAGATTTTGACCAACTTCGTCGTGTACAAAAGTCTAGACGACAATTACAAGGGACGGATATCGTGTTGAAACAAATATATGAATTAGAAGCGGCTTTTATTGAGTCTAATAACAACCCATTATCGATTGAAATCATTGAAAATATGGTTGAGCCCGTTTTTGATAATGTCTTTATCTTTACTGTTGAGTCGAACAGGACAGGATTTGTCGAATTCATTGATGGTGATAGTCTAAAAAAGTGGCTAGCAGATAGTGACACAATACAACAAAAATTTGACGTTAATATCAAACTTGATGTTAGATGTATGAATGAAGATGAGGATATCGGCAGCAATAACGCTATGTCGCGTTCCTCAAATCGTAAACTATCGTCAAAAACAAAGGAAGACGGCATACTTCCACAAATGACAATATATCTTCGTTCACAATGGACTTTGGTTACTAATCATCCGAAGTTCAGTATTGAGTACAAGAATTATATACGTAAGTCAATTCATAGACATCTTGATACTCAAGTGAATGCATACAGATCTCTTCTGACAAAACCAGTGAAAGTCAATGAGATTTTACAATAGTATTCTGATTCGGAAAGTCTGCGAGTATGTCAGTGACTTTAGCTTAATTTTCTATCCTTTCGACTGAAAAGCGTTTATAAAACATCGAAAATCTCAAGAGATTTCGTCCTTGGTTATGCGACAAAACTGCCGTTTTCGGCCTGAAAACAGCAAGACATTGTAAGTGTGAATATGATGATTGTCTCCAGTCGCTCGTTTTCGCCACTTCATGTTCAATTTCTGTCGGAATCTGAAAAATTAGACTACTAGACTCGGACAATGGATTCGTCTTATTTGTGGAGTTTTGTGACTGGAAGAAATAGAGCATCATTTACCTGTATTCTAACGCCCATCATTTTTCGGCGGTAAACAATAAAGTTGCTGCATTTCGATACTATTGATAGATATCAGTTTAATGCGCAAACCGTGTCGACTACTAATTGAATTTGTGGTTTTGACGTAGAAGGTGAAAGGAAATTCACATATTTAATAGATACAGTAATTACTTGAATTTATTCTGAGGATGTCTGATTATGCAAACAATAACCAGCAATTTGAAACAATGGCGGAGGAGGTGGGAATTAAGCCATCAAGTCCAACATCTTCGGTTTGCTACTAGTTTAAAGTCAAACTTGAATATAAATCACTGGAGGCATTATCAACGGTTGTCTGTATCTATAAATTATAATTTACATATAGTTTTCATTCCAAATTTCTTTAAGATTAAAATAACGATGTAAGGCTTTGTACTATATATACCCTCCATAATGAATTTTTGTCTATATTTTTTTTCTACAGTTCTACGTGGAAATCATTTTTCATTCCGAAACTAGTTTGATTTCCTTCGTTTTGTTTTTCAAATGTATCATAATGAAAATTTTCGTAGTAATCACGACTGTCCCGCTAGATGGGATAAACGTAATTTTTCAGAATTCACTACTATCTCGTCGAACTCTTTTGCTATCTCATACGGGTCTATAATCAATTATAGGATCTGAGCTTGGTTTCGAGATTGAAATTCGTGGTAATCGAATTGAAATTCATCATTATTCCATAACTGCTATGTTGGCTAAACAAAATCCTTCTGAAATTCTGGCCAATAAAACTCACAATTTTATGCGCACATTCGCTTTTCGTTCAATTATATTGCAACAATCCGTAGAACAACTTAAGATTTTTCATGCACATTCCAATACTGTTGCGTTCTGTCATATTAAAGACAACAATTATAATTTGGCTACTAAAAAATCAAATATAGAAAGTATTATGCAAAAGCTACTGCAAAAGAAACTAAACGTTGAAAAAGTAGTAAAGAATCAATCTTCAGCAGCATCTACTGATGAGGAAAAGGTCAAAACTGTTAATGAAATGTAAGTTCTGCAGCAGTTATTTCCATTATTTACTTCTTTGTTTTCTTAGAGTATTACCAAAATTTGTCATTCCATCACCATTGCTCAACTCAGTAACTACTGATGACAGGTACATTTATTTATTGTTCTATTCGAAGTCTATCTTTGTTTCCTATAGGCCTATTGTAAGTGATGACATTACTCACAAGATTGTGACATTAACATTCAATAATTCAGCACAAGTGGCTTTATTTACTGATAAGACATTTCAAAACTGTCTTCAAACCTATTTCAATAAAAACTATTGTGCTAAACTTGATATGGAGGATTCAGCTGATGTCAATAGTCGATCTTTGGTGAAAATAATCGGACGACAGAGCTCTATCGACCCAACATTAAGCGAGTTGCTGACTTTATTTTCATTAGGTCGAACAAAAACATTCAATGAAACAATAGGTCAGACATTCTTCATTCTATTCTCTGAGATAACTTTATCATTTTAGATAATGGCTGGGTAAAGATTACCAATGCAGTTCATGTTATTCAACATCATTTTAATGTCTTGAACATCAAATGTGTTTGTCAGCAACAGGTATCTCCACTCGCGATACTAGTGCACTATATCGACAAAGAACATATTGAGTTTGGTGTTGATGAACAAATCATTGATGGATTATGTCGAAAAACATTGGTTCTAGCCAAATGTACATCGGCTACATTTGAAAAGGAATGGGAGTCACTTAAAATGAAAATATATATACGTGATGATTATGGAAAAGATATTTGCCTGTTTGATGAACAACAGACTATTACCCTATTCGGTTTACCTGAAGTAGTTAAAAATGTTCAACAATTATTTGAAGATAAGAAAACAAAATATGTTCCACCTATTGTCAAAAACGAGCTGAACAAACCAGAGACATCTGTACAACCGAGTCAACCTACCATACATCAAGAAGATAAGCAAATAAAAAAACAAATAGTTCAAACATTCTCAATAGCATTCGATGTTGATGAACCTGGTTTTGAAATTCTTGCCAATCGGGACTGCAATCAATTATTAAATATTGTTGGGTCGAAATGTCAGTTAGAGAAACAAATTATTTATCATAAAATTCAAATTCAAATACCCAAAGTAAGGGCTGATCATTTTAACTATAATACATTGCAAAGTCAATCGCAAGAAAATACTTCTGAATCAACGAATGATGTTAATAACCCTTCTGCGAACTCAAATCTGAATTGGTTTCAAAGATTATTTCAACGTAGCAAATCAAAGACGCAATCTTCAACACCTGTAAAACAGCAAAATTCCACACCACAAGTACAAGCAACATCAAGTGCAACTAATATAACTAGTATTGCTATTGGCAATTCGAAGATTATTGTTTGTACAGGAGATTTAACAAAGCAAGTGGTCAGTTTAATTTTCTTCATTATCAGAAGCTTGTAAAGATTGATAATTTTCTTGTAGCATGAACCTAATTAACAGAGTAAAGAGTTGTTTAGAATAACCATCTTTTTTTGTTCCACAACTACGTATTTTAAACACAACAGAATGATATATTTTTTCATTGATTTTTAATGAATGAGAGTCATAGATTCATTATGCTCCATATATAAGCTCACTTACATGTACACAGGTATTAATTATATGTTAATTATTAAAAGAATTAACTAACGACAAAATAAAATACTTCATATCAGTGACTCATTTATAAAGCAAACAATATCTGTATTTGAATATTGCTTAGAATAATTAATATTCTTTATTTTTTCAATTTATTTCTTATAGGTCGATATAATCGTTGTTTGTTCAACATCTGGAATACTACGTGATGCAATTATCTCTGCTGCTGGACAACAAGTAAAAACTGTCTATAATCAACAACCATCCAACAGTATATTGGAGTTTGAAACAACAGGTGGTAATTTACCTTGTAAAAAGATTGTGTTTCGACCATGGATCTGTAATAAAAATCAAACGCAAAACTTAAAACCATCCATTATTACATTTGTTCAATCAGTAATTTCATTTGCACTTCATCATAAGTTAACAACAATTGGTTAGTCTATACTATGTTTGAAATAAAAATTTGAAAATCAATTTTTAGCTTTTCCAAGCATTGGCTGTGGACAATTAGGTTTCGATCCGAAATTGATTGCTGAATATATGATTGGCGAGACCTATGAGCAATTAAAAAATACAGTTCATTCTACATTAATTGTTTCTTTTGTTTTACTACCTGGACAAAAAAATGTCTATGATGCATTTACTGATCGACTCAATAAGATACAAATGATTGATGATAAGCCAACTAGTATTTCTTTCGATAAACAAAGTATAAGAATAACACAAATTAATAAAAATGTATTTTCCTTCCATTCCATTTGTTTTTTTTTTCAGTAGTGAGAATTAAATTGACTGGTTCAAACAATAGTCAATTGATTGAATATCGAAATACAATAAAACAATTAGCTCAATCATGTTCCCTTAAACTTCATCTAACTGATAAAACTGATATGACTGATTGGTCGCAAGACACCATTCAAAGATATTATGATTATTGTTTACACAGACAAGTCATACCGAAACTCGATCTTCAAAATTCAACTTTGGATTTGATAGGTCCTAAAGATGCGGTAAGCCATTCTGTAACATGAATACAACACTGCATTTCTTCAATGATTGCAGAGAAAATTTACTTTAGCTTTCAACGAAAAGTTAACTGTCTCAGATTTCATCCAATGTGGTCAATGTGTTCGCTTGATTATCTTTATAGAAAAAAAAAGTAGACATAAAATAGGCGCAAAAAGTAAAATGTTTCAGAACTTCCAGTCAAAATTTGTCAATCATCTATATATTTTCCTTGTACTTAAAAACATTAATCTAAAAATTGATCGAGATAGATGTTTTGATCATTGTTTACACAACATTTAATACCTAGTAATTATCTTGTACTAAATATTTTGTTTTTTGTTAATTTAGGTAACCGATGCTGAAAAGTATTTTTTTCAATTAACTGCTGAAATACTAAGAAATGCGCGTATTCAAGTTTTAACACGTGGATGTATATGGTCAGTTGAAATATCATCTGGTCAATGGGAACAATATCCATTTAGAATCAATGAACTAATTGAAAATGCTCAATTGAAAAAACTTCCATATGTATGTGATTCTTTTGTTCTTATTTATTCGAATATATTTTTTTTATTCTTAAGATTGAATTTGAAAACGAAAAATCAGAAAAATGTCGAATAATTTTCTCATCCATGGAAGAAGAATGTCAAAAACGAAAACGAAAAGTCTGTCGTAAACGTATAGATTCAACATTACCTCAAGTCGGAAAATCTTGAACTTTAATATCTTATCAAATTTCATGAAAATATAATTATTTTTAGTATTGGGACTTATCCGGTGATTATTTTAAACGAGTAGTTCTTTTAGACTCTTCTAACGAGTACAAAGATGTTTTAAATCGATTTGATTCTACAATGAAAGGTAACTATTCGAAAATCATGAAAATTGAACGGATTCAAAATGAACGTTGGTACAAACAGGTATTTTTGAATTTATTATTTCAACTAAGATAAAAATTTGTTCATTTAATTAATATTTTAGTATGCTGCTCATCGTGATGAGTTTACGCAACGCTATACACAACCTGATGAACGACTACTTTTTCATGGTTGCAGCAGTGAATCAGCTGATAAAATTGTACAAGAATGCTTTAATAGAGCATTTGCTGGTGCTAATGGTAAGATTAACATTGTTTTTGAATATTGAAACATCAATAAGAGTATTGTTTGTAGGAGTTATGTATGGTCAAGGAGTTTATTTTCATGAACATTCAAAATATAGTCATAGTTATGCTAAAGCAAGCACATCAAACGAACGAACTATGTTCTTAGCTCGTGTTTTGATTGGAAAAACATGTCTTGGCAATTCATCGATGAAAGTTCCACCTAAAAGTTTCGATACAACTACAGATGGTGGATACATTTTTGTGATTTATCATGATGCTGGAGCCTATGGTGAATATCTTATAACGTACAGATGAAAGCTGTTCAGTACAAATCACTAACGAAAGAGACTATAATCATTTAATTTGAGTCTTTAATTTTTATATATAGATTGACTAAATTTGACTTGAGTCACAAAAATATATATTTTCTTTGTCACATTAAAAGATAAACATTGACAAAAAAATATTGCAATGCTTTTCTAGAACGTGTAGATGGATGGGTCAGTGTGGCTGTGGGTATAGATGTACATCCTCTATTTACCCACACCCACACCTCTCTAGAAGAACAATATCTTTTCAGTCCTTGAGAAATATAAATTAGATATAGACTGCAAAGCGCAACACCAACTAATACTAAAAGTTTTTCTCTATAGATTTACATTCGAATGAACATGATCGAATAAAAAAATAAGTAAAACGACCATTGAAAACTCATATTGGTATTTCTTATTCTTGTGATTTATCATACTAAATTGATACATTTTAAGTTATGAGTTCTATATCATTCTATTCAGATGATCATATTTGCCTAATGTCCACTTTTGATTCTACTGATACATCAAAAACGACTTCATCTTGTCTTGTTGTTCATTTCACCTCAGCTTCTCCAAAGTTTTATATTTGTGAACAATTAAAACAATTGTTTTTAAAAATAGAGGAAAATGTTCGTCTTGAAAGTAACTCTTATTCTATTGATACAATCAGCTGAAAAACATTTGTATAAAAAATAAATTATGTTGTTCTTGTCGTTTCTCTTTCTTGTTGGAGTCAATCTGAAATAATAATCAAGACGTTTCGTCAAAGCGGCAGAATACCCTGTTCTAGTGGAAGAGCAGAACACAGGGTGCGTTTTTTTCTGATGCGGGTGTGGGTCAAAAGTTCCACAGCCATATCTTTTTTCAGGAAATAAAGTTGAAATCAGTGATTAGGCATAATCTCTTATTCGAAGCTGATAGAAATAAACTAATTCTAAGGCAGTCTACAAAACGACCTTATCTGTCCTCCTTCTTTGAAAGTTTCTCTAGAAAGAAGCAAAGTCATGTCTACAGATACTATGTTTTAGTCATTCGATGTATTTAGAGATTTTTTCAGGTAAAAAAAGTGATCGAGTCGAAATAGAAAACATCTATTCGTAGTCAGCTTATGAAGCTCTATCAAATCACATATAATAGAACGAAAAATAAAGCTCACTCCAATTTTGCATTTTCGATACCTTAATCAAATTCAGATGGTCAATAAAACAATTCTGGATGATATTCTTGTTTTCTTCGACGAAAAGATATGTAATTCGTTGTATGCAATTGAAATTATATAGATAATGAACAATGTCAAATAAGTCTATTCAGGTAATTGGCTAATTTATAACACGGTCACATCCACACCCTCAAATCAAAGATATGAAACTCTGAATATGCAAACAAACTAGAGTAATTATGAATTAATACAATCGTTTTTCTTCTCGACAATATTCATGCCGTGTTAAAAGTTATGGTCTGAGTCTTGTTAAGATATTGATTATCAATTGTAACGATAACAACTAATTTTATGTTATTTATGGTTACGCTTTTGAATAATTTCAACTGTGTTTCGAAAGATTTTAATTGATAATGATGATGATGATTTCGCTATTAATAAAACGACACAAAACAAGAATTATGTAAAATATGTCAAAGAAATTTCTCATATTTCTATGGCTTCGAATCAAGAGAAACAATTTGAACGTCATCTTTGATGATGTCTTTGTTGCAAGTTGTTGATATAAGAAAAATCGATGATTATGACTGATGGAATTGTCGGCCTTTGATAGCTGACATTAGTAGATAATATGATCTGGGTATTTGTTTGAAAAAATGTTATGAACATAAACCTTTAATCGCATGACAGAAATTCGTTAACGAACTAATATTTCGCTTTGAGATATAATAGTATTCTTCAATACTCTAGTAATGATAATTATATAGTTGATGTTTCTCTCGACTGACTTGCATAATCATTTATTGTTTGTTCATCACACAGTATACATCAAATAAGCAATTATTTCATAATATTTGAATATGAAAGACTTTATAGTTAACGATATATATATAACACAACAAAAACGAAAATTCATTGTCGACGAAATCTTTCTAACATCCATATATATACATATAAATATAGAAATTAGTCAATTTTAAACAATTTGTAAAAAATCGTTTTCTATCAATATTTGTAGTTAATTTTTGTCGAACTTATGAGACAAGTCAACAAGACATTCATTTAATCTGGCTATGCGGTAGACATCGAAATAAAACACGATCATACAAATAAATAAAAATCTAATAAACTAATATGATTTAAAAATAAATATTTATTCTTTGATATATAGTTGATTTAATTACAATAATACAATAAATTTTGTTTTCATATAACATACACGGACTTCATATTTATCCATGATTATCAATAAAAATAACTTCAAATAGTTACATATTAATCGAGTTTTGCTAAACATAGTAATTGAATGACATATTGAAGTGGATATAATCAAAATTTCCAAAATAGAAAAACAAGGAATATACTTGTCCAATCAATATGCAATCGACGAATCGTATAGGGAGTTAATCTATCAATTATTAAAGTGCTAATATTCATAAATGATAATAAAATACACAGAAATTTTGTTCAATTTTACTTAACCTAAGAACATTGATAACATATAATAATATTTCAATTATACGATATATGATCGTAAATATAATTCGAGATACTACACTAATCTTAAATTACATAATATCTCTGAATATGTAAGCTATCGCGTAAGTCTATAGTCTGGAGGATGATAATTATTGCCATTTTATGATTACGAAACATATTGTTAAAATTGAACTTTCTTCTCAATATATAGTGATCATTATGCCTCGTGTACAATTCTCAACAAAATTGCATTATAGATTAATCATTCTTGTTTTGTTCAATGAATTTTTGTTCAGGATTTGAAAAATCTTAAATGAGACTCACGAGAGAATCTCTCCAGATGTTTCCTTCCTATTTCAAGAGGTATTAAGTTTCTTTCTAGATGTCTCAGGTTTTCTGAAAATCTGAGTCTTCTGGAAAAAGAATTTGATAGTCTAGTCATTCTATGTAATACCTATACACAAAATATCAATAATTAAAATTCGTATCCGATAAACTAACAAGAATGCTCTTTATGAAATTTGAATTTAAAAGTAAAAGAAAATACCATCAATCGAGTTTCTATATGAATCAAACAGGAAATATACTGAAATTGTTTTATTATGAATCAAAAATTTTTAACAATATCTTCTTTAATCTTGATTTTATAATAATAAAAAATTATTTTGCTTACGAAGAGAGTAATCATATAAAACTACTTTTAGTAGATATGTTTATTTCAAAAATAAAAAATATTTTATTGTCTAGATAAAAGCTTCAAAATGGAATTAAGTTGATACATAGCAACATATCTTCTTCTTTGATTCACAAAATAACGACACTATTCATTGTATCATTAGCATTCAAAAGAAAATATTAAATAATTCATCACTATTATTGTTAGCGATGAAAATGCGTATGATCCTTTCCTCCGAATGTTAAATATATCTAAAAAGCTTTGATGCATATTCATTACATTTTTTTGTCAATATGAAGATTATTATTCCAAAACTAATAGAACTTTTATATTTATGATTTTGTATATCTCTAGAGAAAATTCTTTTATTTAAATTCATTGAATAGTTCGTGTTACATATTTATATAAGATTGTGAATACAATCATTGGTCAATTGTCTTATGAGGTTTTCCTTCTTTTTTTTTATTGTATTGCTTCTTCATTACGATGATTATTTTATTATATCGTATAGTTCTATTTCCTCGTTCTTAGATTTATTCAAGTGTATAAATTAAATAACAACAACATGCATCTTTTTTCTACCTCATTATGACATATAAATTATTGAAATACGAACAATGATAAAAAAATAGTATAAGATGTAATGTAGAAACATTAATCATGATCATTAAAAATAATAAAAAAAAAAAAGATCAGTTTTTTTGATTACATCAAATATATTCATAGACTCAATTGCTTCTGTTTTATTAAGAGTGCATGGTTATATATAATAAGAAAGAAAAAAGATGATGATAGACATGGAATGAATGATTATAGTATGTAGAGTAACTTAAGTCACATAAAACTTCCATAACATAAACATGAGAGGCAAGTGTCAAGCTAATAGATTATTGTTATTTGTCGAGTTTTTTTAATTAATGGTTACCAATTATATGTATGTATGCATGCATGTCTTTCCTTATTGAGAACTGCTTTGTTTTATCTGTAAATCCATGATGATTATGTATTTCTATTAAAAAATATTAGTGAGCGTTCAAAAAGAAAGTAGCACCGAGTGACGTAAACCATTAGTTTTCTGTCAAAATTTTGAATGAAAGTCATTTGTCTATATCCAATCTATTTTCATTGAATTCTAGTTGAGCATCATCAGTATGCCAAAATGATTCACACATCATGTTAGTCACTTTGATCATTATTAAAAATGACATTTCTTCGACCATCATCTCTTATGAAAATCGGTCCAATATAAAAGCTTAAATTGAATTAGGCAAAATACATGCGCACGAGATAAATAGATGAATAAGACTAGAATTTTATGTTAGGATAGAGAACAACTTATTAGACAAGCTTTTAACAAAAACTGTTCATTTTTCTTTTGAATCATAAACATTTAGATATAAGCAAATGTATGTATGAAGGTCTCATGAGAAAATTTACTTTTCTTTTATTGCTTTGGATAGGATATACTATAATATTCTGTTTCTTCCAAAATTTCTTTTATTTTCTTGTCATTAATAATGAAATAAAAGTGATATAATATTATTTGCATGAAACAAAGATCAAAGATAGAATTTCATGAGATCATTTCCTTTCTTTTTTTTTTATTGTATTTGTCTCGTCATACCTAAGAATAATTCTTGATGAAAAAAAAAAAATTTCCAAAAAATATTATTCTCTTTAGAATTCA